AACAATCAGCGGATTCAACTCAAGAACCTTCGTTTATTGACCTGCCGGACGAGACATTACGATTGTCACAACCTTTAAGACGACGCAATCGAGATGAAGATCTTCAAGAACGACATGTTCTTCCTCGAACAGATGGTGAGATACAACACGTTTGGTATCACGATTTGGGAAGGGACTCCCGATGTTTGGTGATTTTGCTAGAGGTTGGAACAACTCCTGATGGTGTTCCGAATATTCTATTTGAAGGAAGTTATGAAGGCCTCAATAATGATCAAATAACTGGGTGGTCTTCCTGCCCTGGTATGGGACACTACCGATGGTTGAGAGGCCCTATCAATCATCTTCGAAGAGAACAGAGATCAGAGTATGTGGCGAATATAATTCGTCGCATCATAGATTTCCTCAACATATGATGACCACTCCTCGTGGAACTCGTCTCTAGAAGGGGGGGTAATGTCACGGCCATAATCATGTAAGCTAATTATTACATATAGAAATAGGTAGAAGTAAGTAAAAGTAGATAAAAGTATGTTAATTGTATAATATTTAATATAGAAGCTTCTTAGAAACTTCCTAGACGCTGCTTTGACTTCATAGGTGTCTTTAATTGACTTTTTGGATTAGAAACGTGGTCAACAAGTTGGCCATGTGCCACACATGTTGTTAGCTTGAAGATCAAGCTAACTATGTGGCCCACACGTAGAAAAACTTGCCTTGTAAGTCAAGGCATGTGTCCTACAAAGTCAATACATATTGGAGGTCCTATAGAACGTCGCCACGTAGCCCCTAGTTAGATAGTATATATAGAAACAAGAGTGAAGGCTTCTTCACTCTTGTCAACTCCTTTCTTGCTTCTAGTCCAGGTTCAAGAGTCTTTAGTTTCTTGTCTTGTGGCAATAGCCATTCCAGTTTCCTTTTAATATACCTACTTGTTTATATTTTGACTTATTATATCGAGATAGCCTTTTGGTGTATATTTTTCCTCATCGAGTCTTTGTCCTTGACAATAGGTTTTGATTCATGGGTGATGCTACCAGACAATAAAGGTCGCCCATCTATGACCTCAACATGAACAAGTTTTGATTTTTGTACTAAAGGGATCTTATGATGCTTTACAAATTCTTCGTCTAAAAAACAAGCAGATGCTCCTGAGTCTAATAGTGCTAAGGTTCTCAGTTTTTGAGGGCCGATAAACAGAGGGATTGTAAAACAAAGGGCAGGTTGGGCAGAAAGAAAGGAACCTGATTGTTGTTGGGATATTTCATTGTCCAGCCGCACGGTTCCTACTGTGGCTGGGCATCCTCGTTTTCCTGAACAAATACTCCCCTAGCCTTGACTATGCCTTGATTTTGTTTTTTGGGGCAGTTTCCGACTTTGTGGCCTTCTCCACCGCAATACAAGCATAAATTTTCTTCCATACGTCGCTTTTTTTCTACTATAGTAAGAGATTTGATACGTACCGCATCAATTTGCATGTCTTCCACCTCTGAATGCAAATTTACACTGCTTACCGACATAGTTGGAGCATGACGAATTGTATGTTGTCTTGAGCGTTGGTCTTGGCGACGTTGGAATAGGCGATTATCGCACTTCACAGCTTGGCTAATGGCTTCATTGAGCGTTCGTGGATCAGGAAGAGTTAACAGCAAATCCTTCACATCATCTCTTAAACCCCAATAGAATTGACTCATCAACGCTTCTTCATCCCAATTGATGTCGCATACTAATTGCCTGAAATCCGAAGCATAGACTGATGTAGAACGCATCCCCTGTCGTAGCGACCGGATCTTTGTTGTAGCCCATCGATCCTTATCGTGTTCACCAAATGCTTCTGCAAATGCTTCCAAAAAGGTTTCGAAGTTGTTTAATATGGATGATCGTTTCTCAAATAAAGGAGCAAACCATGATAGAGCTTGTCCCGTAAGTAAGGTTCCAACAAGCCCAATACGTGACTCCTCCGTTGGATATCGTTCGGGCTGTAAAACTGTTATCAACCTGATTTGATTGACGAATCCTCGAAACTTGGAACGTGTTCCATCAAACTTATTTAGAAGGCTAACTCGAGGCTCCTTATGTTGTAGAACTAGTGGTTCTTGTCGAACCTGAGGTAAAGTTGTTTCTCCAAGTGCAGAAGTTTGAGGCTGGTGCAGTTTAGATTGTGCTATCCCAGATACTCCATCATTATGAAGCCTTGCCACTACTCCTTCAATCTCTGCAGTTCTTTGTGATAACGTAGCGAGGGCATTCATAATAGCATCTAACTTAGACTCCGAACTTTCTGTCATACTAATGTCTTGACCTCCGGCCATTCTAAAAGAAGGAAAAAAATGACCCTATAAAAGGTAATATTGGTTTATAGGAGGGTAATCCACAACCTATGAAACGCCTTAAGAATTTCAAGAAGAGGGGTAATCCACTCTCTCCAAGAAGAATAAGACTCCAATATTGTAACAGAAGAAGTATCAGTTTAGAGGAGGGTAATCCGCAACCTCTAAAAAATGCTAGTATACCTTCAAGTAGAGGGGTAATCCACACTCTACTAAGAAAGAACTAGCTCTGATATCTCAAGTTAGTGCAGTCTCGACAAACTGTCACGGACACAAAATACAGACTTAAAATCTAACAAGAAGTTCAACAAGAAGTGGCAGAACTAGATTAAACAGATGAGTACAAGAACAACACCAGAAAGATGAGCTAGAACTCTAAGAGATGTGTTGTCGAGACTGAAGAACTCTTCAGCCTCGATCCCTATATATACTCCTACTTAGGAAGCTTCTCGAGCTACTTCTATTAACTAGGAAGCTTCTAGAAGGTTCCAGAGGCTTCCTTTCTAGAAGGTTCTAGAAACTTCTCGAGCTACTTTTATTAACTAGGAAGCTTCTAGAAAGTTCCAGGGGATTCTTTTCTAGAAGCTTCTAGAAACTTCTCTTCTAGAAGGTTCCAGAGACTTCCTTTCTAGAAGCTTCTAGAAACTTCTCTCTAAAAAGTTCTAAGGAATATGTCCCTAACAATAGTCTATTCATTGTACTTCAAAGCAAAATCCAAGTATTGTTTCTGATAGTAGATAGATAGTTGTAGCTTTTTCTTCTTCACCATGGCTTTCATATTTCATTTCTTGAAAATATTTTGAATGGTTTAGATTGGCATAAGATTACTGATAATATTGTTAAGGATTTTAGCAACTTCAACAAAAATTTTAGCCTTTTCAATGTTGATTTGGCAAATGATTGTCCTTTCATCTACTACAGTGAGCTTCTTTGGTCTATCTAATTTAAGGTTCTTCTTATTAAAAGTGATTTTTTATGCTAGTCTAAAGATAATAGCTTTACTACACTCAAGTTCAAAAGTAATTTGATCATAAGATTTTTGAGAATGAAGAAGATTAGAGGTGATGTTGTCTTAGAGAGAGCGGGGAATGGATCTCATAGTTTTTGATGGAATTATCAAGGACACAAGAATCTGACAAAGAAATGTGTCAAGACTAAGAATGAAATTGATAGCAAAAAGTTCCAAAGTCTCCTATTTGTACTATAATGAAGGTTATAAAAGTCTATGATACTTTCTATGGAAATTTTTAGAAGTCTAAAGAAGCTTCTAAAAGCCTATAGAACTTTCTAAAAGATTATAGAAGATTCTATAGGTATGTAAAAGGTTTTAGAAATTTACAAAAGATTCTAGAAGATCCTAGAATGTGGTAATTTGGAATTTGTCCATGCCAAAAATTATGATTAAGAATGGTACTTTTATAGCTGTTAGTAAGAATTAATGATGTCATTAGATTAATAACAATATTGTCACAGTAAATCTGATGATGATAGAATGTTGTAATATTGAGTAATTGATAGAATCCAAAAATTAGACACCACACAAAAAATTATTTCAGTACTATTCCAAATTACATTGGTCATAGCTCTGCAATTACCTAATGGATTCTTTTCAATCTAGGTTCATTTGGTAGTTGTGAAGGAGTACTTTATTTACTATACAAACAATGTGTCATTATTCACTACAATTCATCTATAATACACTATTCTTTTTAAAATATATCAATATTGAAACAGTTTTTTAAGTCATTGTAGCTAGTTTTGAAACCTTATTGTTATTTAGAAATTTTTATTTGGAAAATAAAGTAACTAAATTTAATTTAATTCAAATTTCAAATAATTGGTAAAAGAATATTACATGATACTAAAGATAATTGTGTCAAGTTAAGATTCAAAGACTTTATACATCATTGAAGTAAATCCTTTAAATAATTAAAATTAGTAAAATAAGAATAATTTTGTTCACCAAAATATTTGAAAACTACTTAAATAAGTAAACCAAACATACAAAAGAAGTCTTGAACAAATTCTCAAACAATATTTCATTGACCATATTACAAATTTGTGATTTTGTGTTATAACATCTATTCTTTATTTACATCTACAATCAAAAGTTCACAAATATTAGTTATTACCTTCCTATCTATGCACATCAATATACATATCTTGGTGCTCTCAAAATATATATCACATTTTTAGTTTTTTTGTTGTATCAAAATTGCTATAATATATATATATATATATATATATATCTATTTAGTTTAGAATCTTAACGTTTTGCAAAAAGATTGCCATGTGGGGAACACAAGACTAGCCACCACCCCAACTCTCCCCTAACCATCATCAATTCATGGACACACTCAGCTTTAAAGTCAAAGCGCAAAAGTAAAAAGTAAAGGGGTAAAAGAAAAACAAAGATATGCTACGTTCCCACGAACAGCTTCATCAAGAGAAATCGTACATCGATGGGAATTCATCCAAAAATCAGCCATCCATTCGAGATTTCATCCTCCTGGTAATTCATATATCCGAAGTAGGGGGGAAGCGAGGCAGGTAGAAAGAGATCCCCGCAGTCAATGGGCTAATAATAGAGGCGAACGAAGAGCCTGGTACCAAGGCCATCCTCAGTTAAGCAAAGAGGGAGGAGAAGGAGAAGGGAGGGAGGGAGAGAGGTTCTGTTGGACAAGCTCAAAGCGGGGCCCTCAACGCCTACTCCCGCGTTCTCACTTACTTACTTACTTACACTCGCACCCCCTCCCCTCCCTTCCCCCCACGCAAACCCTTGACAGGGGAAGTGCGAAGCGAAGCTGGGCTCTCACTTGCTTGGGCTTTCCCCCTCTCCTCTCCTCCCTTCGGTCTGGTTGTTCGTTGCTGAGTGCTGCTGCTCTGCACGCACCGAGCGCGCTGCGAATTGGATGTGACCTTAGCGTTTGCGTCGTCGTCGTCGTTGTGGCATCCAATTTACCTCTTGCCCGCCGGAGCGTGTGAGCACAATATTTTGCTTCGGTCGTGTTGTGCGATCAAGCATGTTTTTACTCCTTGGTCTGGGGGTTGGAGAATGCGGAGCGAGTGGTGTCGGAGTGTAATTTGGGAATTTGTTGTTAGAGGATATGTTGTGTTGTTTCGAAGAGTCGACGATTGGCGGAGTTGAGTTTTCTTAGGTTTGAAGGCGGACCTTCAAGGGGTAGACAGCTGAGTTTCGAGGGAGTTGTGAGAGAGTTTCGAGTTTCCCTGTTTTTTTTGTTTTTGTATGTTTTTGTTCGTTTTTGTTTTTGCAGAGCGGGTTGGTTGAGGCGTGGTGGCGAGATGGAAGGGGCGTCCGTGTCAACTAACCCTCGGTCCGTGGACGAGGTCTTTAAGGATTTCAGAGGGCGTCGAGCTGGGATGCTCAAGGCTCTTACTTCTGGTAAGGTGTTGGCACTGTCCGTATTTTCCTGAGCCTCAGTATGAGCTCTTTAGGTGTCTAATTTAAAGTTGCACTGCTGAAGCGTTGGACTTTCGGCTCAGAGGAATGATGGCTCTAACGCCGTGAAATAGAACGCCTGTGTAAAGAGTCTTTGTGTGGTTCAGGGGCTTCCTCTACAGTGCTCCGCCTGTCTTCCAGATTTTAAGCAAGCATTAACTCTCTTAATCAGTTCTATACATTATTTACTCGTGGTTTAATAAATATATTGTTGTTCCGTTCTCACCGCACAATGAGTACCCTTGCGCGTAGTTCTGACAATTAGGTTATACGGATTAGATTGTCTTTAGCCTGCGTGGAAACCTAGAGTTGATTTTCGTATTTTTCTTGAAATGTGCAGAGGTAGAGGAATTTTATCGCCAATGCGATCCAGGTTTGTTTTCTGATTCCTTTTGCGCAGTTTTGAGACTCAAGCGTTTGGCTATGAAGTTAATGTTGTGTCCTACTTCATTATGCTGGAAGTTGCAGGAATGTTTCGTATGTTAGTTTTGGAAATTTTGATTCTGTTAAATTTATGACTGGCATGTAGATTTCTTTTTTCAAACGTTCTCTATGATAGCGGATGAAGGCTATTAAGCGTGCGCTTGTGTGAGTGAATGTCATAATAATGTCACGAGTAACAATGTGTGGAACGTGCAGAAAAGGAGAATTTGTGTTTGTATGGATATCCGGAGGAGACGTGGGAAGTGAACCTTCCAGCCGAAGAGGTACCGCCCGAGCTACCCGAGCCTGCGCTGGGAATCAACTTCGCACGAGACGGAATGCAACGCAAGGACTGGCTTTCATTGGTTGCTGTTCACAGTGACGCATGGCTGCTTGCCGTTGCGTTTTATTACGGTGCTCGATTTGACAAGAATGAAAGGTACAAAAGTCGTGCAGTTTGTATGGGCAAGATGATGGAATGTGCTAAGTTTTCCACGTATCGTATGCAAGTCTGCTTGCGTTAGGGATGAATGGGATGGTCTAATGTTACGTGACATGAAATTTTGTGCATCGGAATGTGTCGGACCTGATTTGGCGAAGTGAATCTTTTATGTCTTGATATGCCTCTGTTGTGGGTCATGGTGACAGAAAGCGGCTATTTAATTCTATCAATGAGCTGCCTACAGTATTTGATGTAGTGACCGGTAAGAAACCTGTGAAGGAAAAAGCCAGCGTTGTCGTCAACCACAACAACAACAATAACAACAATAATAACAGTGGCCGAAATAAGACAAAGTCGGCGGCTAAGGTGGTGAGTGATAATTCTGTAAAATGATTATGTGTCGCTGGATCAGCATGTTCTGTTTGTATTGGATTGTTCTTTGCATTTAAAGGAAAATTTAGTAACGTCTCTCATGAGTAATTTTGGAATGTTACTTCGCGATTCGCTACTTTTCTCAGATTTGTCAAACCTTTTTTCTTTTGAATACTATTTTGTTTAAGAAAATAAGATGTGGGTATGTGGTTTCGGTGGGTTCTCTGCAGCAACGTACTGCCGAACCTGTTAAGGCAAAGCCGGCACCACCTCCTCCGAAGGAAGATGACGATCTTGAGGATGAGGACGAGGAGGAGCACGGAGACACATTTTGTGGTACCTGTGGTGGAAGTTATACAGCTGATGAATTTTGGATAGGGTGTGACATCTGTGAAAAATGGTATCACGGTAAATGTGTGAAGATCACACCTGCAAGAGCGGAGCACATCAAGCAATACAAGTGCCCAGCGTGCAGCAACAAAAGGGCGCGTACGTAACAGACCATGACGCAGTATTTTCATAGTTCGAGGGAAACACAGATAGTGTTGTTACCGTGAGGTTATGTTGGGCCAACGTTCTGCTGGACGTAATTGCATGGCATGCAGCGTGGTTCTTTGGAGAACCTAGTCTTACCTGCACAACGCTGTTATAGTTTCAAGTTGTTTATTGATGATATGTTCTTTAGGTGAATATGGAATAGAATTGGCGGTTGTGGCTAGCATTGATTATTCATTTTACAGTTGGAATCGTTTTTTTTTTTTTTTTTTGTTTTTCCAAAACCACCCTCGTTTAGTTTGTCAGTTTCCCTATCACCAAGCTCTGTTATTGCTTATCGTATCACGTTCAGCTTTAGACCTCACTATTTGGATGTCCCTCTCATGAATAGGCCCACCTGAGTCAACTTTTGGTATGATGTTTTGCAGCTTCATTCCCGTGACAGCTGCTATGGTGGCGGTCGTCAATGGCTGCATCCGTGCCTTCACCCTAGCTGCTTTGTGGTTTCACTGAGCTCCAGTTTGCCCGAGGTGGTGTAGTCGAGAAACCTGAGTATTCGAGAAAGAAATGGTTGCAAGCAGGAGTTCATGCTTACAGAGTTTTGTACAGTTCAGGAAGCTCTTAGGCAGCTTCATAGTTCCTCTTCACATATTTATTCGTATTCATGTGTGAAGTGTAGGAATGTTCACTAATTCTAGGAATACATGATTTAAGATGGATGGCAAGCTTTGTTGCACATCTGTTCAGATGTCTTGTGTTTCCCATGTTTTTTTATTTGTTTTTATTGGTCATGTGAATTCGAGGCGAAGGTTCTGTTCAGAGTTCGCGTCATTTCGCATTCGGCAAGTTGTCGATTGTTGGATTAAACGTCATGTATGCATGTGTTACTCGGCTGTGTAGAGTTAGCGTAAACAGAACTTTATGTTGTAGCCAGGCGGTATGATACTGAACGGAGGAATTCAACATTGTATCGTAGCTACTCCATCTACGTATACTGTGCAATTTAAGAGGTTGGGTGCTTGTGAACGTATTACATTAACCATTTCTTACGTAGAAATGGTTGGCACTTTCTTAATTAGGTTATGATTAGAGGCTGGCCTATGACTAGAAAATATTTTTCGCAAAGTGTACGCATGTAAAGTAGAATCTCTCTGCTGTAGTTACCGTTTCTAGATAATCAAGTCAGTCTAGGAGAAAGGTTGTCTTCGGCGGAATGATGAAGTTTAAGGGTGTTTCGCTTTCGAAGTCATCGAACCGAGGCAGTAACTAGGTCGATATTTGGAGATGGGGCTTATGAATCCTCAGCCGCCGTAGCCATAGTTAGGGTTTCCTAACTTTGTTTGCTCTCACTCAACATGTCGCAACCTTGCGATCGTCTTAGGTTGATTGTCGGGGTTTCGAAGGTTGAATTTAGGACGAGTAAAGTAGAATTAGGGTTTGTGATGAGGGTAGGAAGTTGTTAGTTACTTGCATGAAGATGGAGACAAATATCCAGGAGTTGCAATGGTACCAGCGTTCCTGGGACTAGTGCCCAGACACATGGACTAGTGCAGCGATAGATGTAATGGTTGCAAATTATGGATTATAATAGTGTCACATGTCAAATTTACTAGAAGCAATTTGCCAATTGCAGCTACAAAAGAGAATGGTTTCCGATGCTCTACAATAATACCAAACCAGCTTTTAAGAGGGCATGGCCAGAAATTGTGCCACAAAATATTCAACTTTGGTGGAATTGATCAATTTAAAGAAATTTTAGTAAAAGAATAATTAACAAGTTTTAAAAGTTCTAGAGGTTTATATTTATTATAATTGTAATTATATTTTGGAAGTAAATGCAAAGTTTTTAACAAAAGCTAGATATCTTGAAGAACTTGTAGTTATTGCTAGATTTGTAGGAAAGAAATCCTTAAATCTTACTTTTGAACAATGGTTTTCTAATTTGCAAAAAAATATCGACTATCCTTAGAAATTTCTTATTAGCATCTATATAATGTAAGATTTTTTAATATATTTTAATCATGTGTTCTACATTTTTGACAAGTTTAGTTTAATTTATTTTATTGTGTGTTTAGATTAATTTTAAAAATCTCTTAAATGAATTTAGACTAGTAAGTAGCTTATTAGATAAAAGAACTTAAAATGTTGCTAGAAGATGACAATGAGAATACTATCAAATTAGATCTTTGTTTTTGTTTTGTAATAAATTGTAAAAAAGATTAACTATCACATTTTAGAATTAACAACTGCATTGCCGTTTTTTTATTTTTTTAAATTTTTTTCCTTTCTTCTAAATAGATTGTAATTTTGTACTCATTATGTGCATATATTATCTATTTATAAATCATGGAATAAAAAAACTCAGCTATTATTTAATTCAAACTACTATTCTTAATCCTAAGAGCAAAAAATAATTCTATCAAGAACAACTTCCATGTGCCTCAAATAACTATACTATTATAAGTAATTAAAAATAAAATCATAAATAGAAATTATCTCATTTCATTGCCAAAAAAGTTCAAATTGTAATTGGAGAATGAATCTTCATTGTAGTATAGTCTTCCTAATTATAAACCAACTTAATAGATTTTAATTGCGATTAATTTTAAAAATAAAAACCATGCATATTTTTTCACTCTTTTATATTGAATATGATTTTTAAAAACATATGTAAGAAAACTATCACTTTTAAGAGTATACAAATCTATTCTATAGTAAAATATTAGAGATTAAATTTATTTTTGTATTAGTTGAATCCAAGTTCTTGGAAGGTTGTAGCTTAGATAGATCTAAAAATTTGTATTATTTGAGTGTAATTTTAATATTTGTTTGGCTTCTTTTAGTGATATAAATCCATTGGATTCATTAAATATAAGTTTTGATTCTTTAGAGTCCATTTTTTGGATTAATTAAAATTAATCCTCTATTTTCTTTAAATTTATATTAAGTTTATTATCCTACTTAGGACAAAATTAATCTTTGAGGATTTATTCTATAAAAAGCTTCAAATCTCAGTTTTAACTTTGTAAATAGATTTTGTTGTACCTATCCATATAGCAAAAAAACAAGTATAAGAATGAAAATAGAATGTTATTGTCAATAATAATTCTCTTCATGAAATTGAATTTCTTGGAATACTAGTAATTATGTTTGTATTAAAATTTGTCAATTAAGAAGTTGTAAATATTTTATGTTCTTATTAATAGATCAAATGACATATCTAGGATTTTATTTAGATTATTAGAAGATACTTATGGCCATCTAAATCTTTTAGTCTATGCAAGGCATATTGTTTTCTTGTACTCTTAATAAATAGCCAATTTAGACCAATTTATTTCTAAATCAAAAGCTAGATTGAATTCTTAGATAATCTTAATTTAGATAAATACATCAAATTTTTTGCTATTAACTATGAAAGTAGAATTGTTTGTATATTGAAAGATCTAGCTTCTTAAATTACTATGTTGATCATTTCATCAACAATAATATACAAGCAAGTAGGTAGTAGCTAATAGACACCCTTGGCTAACACTTTTTTTTTTTGTAGGAAGTTAATATATATTGATTTGATATTATAACCTTTTTATTTCTAAGTCTTTAAGTGAATTCTCAACTTATATAATGTTGAAGCAATTACAAAAAAAAGTAATAAAAGTTTATTATCTTAATAGTTTTGATAGAGAAGGATAATTAATTCATGTGCAAAGATATGGTTTTTAATCAAGAAGTTAACAAAAATGCCCTATTAACTCATAAATCTATATCTAATGATGAAAATTGTATTGATAGATGTTTACATAAATATTCTAATAAAATACTAAGTTTTAGTGTAAGTAAGCATCAAATTATATTTTAGTTATGAAAATTAAGAATAAAATCTTGTTCTTTATCAATTACTTGAAAAGATATCCACCTTCAAGCTGCATTGAATTTATTGTGTGTATATAAAATTAAAACTTATTTGTAGCTCTGAATAATTTGGTGACTCTAATCTTAGTCTATAATACATAAGATATTACTATCATTCATGAATCTTAAATGGTAATTTGTAAGATTGAACATTTATATTTCTTATAAAGAAAAATTTAAAATATAACACCAATCACTCTAATAGTTACTTGCGTAGTTTCATATAAATTTTGGATGCTTTTGAAAATTCCCAAATAACAGCATACAATGCAATTTTTAGGTCAAGCCAAGGAAGTTCATTGTAATTTGGTTCCTAGCCACGCTACAAAAACATGTTATAGCATAAGATAATACAAAATTACAAAAACGGTTCATATATTTTATAATCTAGTTGCATTATGTAAGATGAGGAAGATCACTTATGCCTCTTGAGAACATTAAAATCTAACAATTAATTCACTACAATATATGTATTAAGAACGATTTCTTGTAAATCATGTAAAAAACTAATTTTGTGGATCTAGCACTGTAATATCTATATTTGATTGGACCAACCATGCCAACCATATTGCGGCTAGGAGCCAATCATAAGTTATATGAGAAATAGCATGGAGGATGTAGATAATGATTTGACTTCAAAAATTGACAAAACTTGTTCTTTGGTTTAATGAACACAAAGGAGCTAAGATATAAGAAAGACAAATACAAGGTTACTTATAGTGTATATGCTAATTTTTTTAGATGATGATCAAATAATTTTTCTAACTTTTACATCCCATAAAAATTTACTTGTGTAAAGCAATGTTCTACAAATTAAGCCACTACTAAAATTATAACTTGTGCAATAACATAATAGATGTATCAAAATAATTTATCAAAAGAAACTTCAATACTTTAACCACTTGAAGTAGTTTTTTTTTATATCAAAGTGAATCAAGATATATATATATATATATATATATATATATATATATATATATATTCATCTTTAAAATAAAAAATAAATATAAAAAATACTTAATTAAAGGCCTTATATCTAATAATTAAAAAATAGAAAATATTATAAATTATTACTAAATTTATATAATTCTAAAATAAGAAAGTATGTCAAATTAAACTTACGAAATCCTAACCATTTGTAAAATTAACTAAAATTTTAAAGAATTCCAAACTTTAATACCTACAAATCTATACTATTTAAAAGTATTTTAGTGACATATTTAGAATAGATAATATTCAATTGGATTTAATATTGTTTTCAAAATTCTAAAAAATCCTTTAATAATAAAAGACAAAATACTAAAGCTTAAGTCAAGGTTGCATATCTTACAAACTAAGAACTTATAAAATATGTTATTTATACTATTGAAATTGTAAACAACAAAAATAAAGAAGAGGAGGAGATAAATTAAGTCAAAATCTAAAAATAAAGTGGTAAAAAAACCAAAATCATTCATGTAATTCTAAATTTTAAATTTTAAATTCTAAACCTTCTTTAAAATAGAATAGTAGATAGAAGTGTCAATAAAGTTATATTAAAGACAACTAATAGTGGTGGATATGAGAAAAAAGGAGTAAGAAAAGATTGTATTGGAAAATTTTAACAGATTATTAGATAATATGGTGCAAATTGGCTTGATTATATACAATCTATTGCACATATTTATAATATAAGTTAAATGCTTATAAAATATTTTTATATATAATATACTAAAAAAATAGTCTAAATACAATAATTTTTAATCATAAGACATGTCTATTTTTATATAAACTATCTATTTTATTTTCATAATGTAAAAAAATCTATGTGATTTTTTATTTTTTAATTTAATTTATTTTATAAA